GCCATGGGGGGGGGGGGGGGGGGGGGGGGGGGGGGGGGGGGGGGGGGGGGGGGGGGGGGGGGGGGGGGGGGGGGGGGGGGGGGGGGGGGGGGGGGGGGGGGGGGGGGGGGGGGGGGGGGGGGGGGGGGGGGGGGGGGGGGGGGGGGGGGGGGGGGGGGGGGGGGGGGGGGGGGGGGGGGGGGGGGGGGGGGGGGGGGGGGGGGGGGGGGGGGGGGGGGGGGGGGGGGGGGGGGGGGGGGGGGGGGGGGGGGGGGGGGGGGGGGGGGGGGGGGGGGGGGGGGGGGGGGGGGGGGGGGGGGGGGGGGGGGGGGGGGGGGGGGGGGGGGGGGGGGGGGGGGGGGGGGGGGGGGGGGGGGGGGGGGGGGGGGGGGGGGGGGGGGGGGGGGGGGGGGGGGGGGGGGGGGGGGGGGGGGGGGGGGGGGGGGGGGGGGGGGGGGGGGGGGGGGGGGGGGGGGGGGGGGGGGGGGGGGGGGGGGGGGGGGGGGGGGGGGGGGGGGGGGGGGGGGGGGGGGGGGGGGGGGGGGGGGGGGGGGGGGGGGGGGGGGGGGGGGGGGGGGGGGGGGGGGGGGGGGGGGGGGGGGGGGGGGGGGGGGGGGGGGGGGGGGGGGGGGGGGGGGGGGGGGGGGGGGGGGGGGGGGGGGGGGGGGGGGGGGGGGGGGGGGGGGGGGGGGGGGGGGGGGGGGGGGGGGGGGGGGGGGGGGGGGGGGGGGGGGGGGGGGGGGGGGGGGGGGGGGGGGGGGGGGGGGGGGGGGGGGGGGGGGGGGGGGGGGGGGGGGGGGGGGGGGGGGGGGGGGGGGGGGGGGGGGGGGGGGGGGGGGGGGGGGGGGGGGGGGGGGGGGGGGGGGGGGGGGGGGGGGGGGGGGGGGGGGGGGGGGGGGGGGGGGGGGGGGGGGGGGGGGGGGGGGGGGGGGGGGGGGGGGGGGGGGGGGGGGGGGGGGGGGGGGGGGGGGGGGGGGGGGGGGGGGGGGGGGGGGGGGGGGGGGGGGGGGGGGGGGGGGGGGGGGGGGGGGGGGGGGGGGGGGGGGGGGGGGGGGGGGGGGGGGGGGGGGGGGGGGGGGGGGGGGGGGGGGGGGGGGGGGGGGGGGGGGGGGGGGGGGGGGGGGGGGGGGGGGGGGGGGGGGGGGGGGGGGGGGGGGGGGGGGGGGGGGGGGGGGGGGGGGGGGGGGGGGGGGGGGGGGGGGGGGGGGGGGGGGGGGGGGGGGGGGGGGGGGGGGGGGGGGGGGGGGGGGGGGGGGGGGGGGGGGGGGGGGGGGGGGGGGGGGGGGGGGGGGGGGGGGGGGGGGGGGGGGGGGGGGGGGGGGGGGGGGGGGGGGGGGGGGGGGGGGGGGGGGGGGGGGGGGGGGGGGGGGGGGGGGGGGGGGGGGGGGGGGGGGGGGGGGGGGGGGGGGGGGGGGGGGGGGGGGGGGGGGGGGGGGGGGGGGGGGGGGGGGGGGGGGGGGGGGGGGGGGGGGGGGGGGGGGGGGGGGGGGGGGGGGGGGGGGGGGGGGGGGGGGGGGGGGGGGGGGGGGGGGGGGGGGGGGGGGGGGGGGGGGGGGGGGGGGGGGGGGGGGGGGGGGGGGGGGGGGGGGGGGGGGGGGGGGGGGGGGGGGGGGGGGGGGGGGGGGGGGGGGGGGGGGGGGGGGGGGGGGGGGGGGGGGGGGGGGGGGGGGGGGGGGGGGGGGGGGGGGGGGGGGGGGGGGGGGGGGGGGGGGGGGGGGGGGGGGGGGGGGGGGGGGGGGGGGGGGGGGGGGGGGGGGGGGGGGGGGGGGGGGGGGGGGGGGGGGGGGGGGGGGGGGGGGGGGGGGGGGGGGGGGGGGGGGGGGGGGGGGGGGGGGGGGGGGGGGGGGGGGGGGGGGGGGGGGGGGGGGGGGGGGGGGGGGGGGGGGGGGGGGGGGGGGGGGGGGGGGGGGGGGGGGGGGGGGGGGGGGGGGGGGGGGGGGGGGGGGGGGGGGGGGGGGGGGGGGGGGGGGGGGGGGGGGGGGGGGGGGGGGGGGGGGGGGGGGGGGGGGGGGGGGGGGGGGGGGGGGGGGGGGGGGGGGGGGGGGGGGGGGGGGGGGGGGGGGGGGGGGGGGGGGGGGGGGGGGGGGGGGGGGGGGGGGGGGGGGGGGGGGGGGGGGGGGGGGGGGGGGGGGGGGGGGGGGGGGGGGGGGGGGGGGGGGGGGGGGGGGGGGGGGGGGGGGGGGGGGGGGGGGGGGGGGGGGGGGGGGGGGGGGGGGGGGGGGGGGGGGGGGGGGGGGGGGGGGGGGGGGGGGGGGGGGGGGGGGGGGGGGGGGGGGGGGGGGGGGGGGGGGGGGGGGGGGGGGGGGGGGGGGGGGGGGGGGGGGGGGGGGGGGGGGGGGGGGGGGGGGGGGGGGGGGGGGGGGGGGGGGGGGGGGGGGGGGGGGGGGGGGGGGGGGGGGGGGGGGGGGGGGGGGGGGGGGGGGGGGGGGGGGGGGGGGGGGGGGGGGGGGGGGGGGGGGGGGGGGGGGGGGGGGGGGGGGGGGGGGGGGGGGGGGGGGGGGGGGGGGGGGGGGGGGGGGGGGGGGGGGGGGGGGGGGGGGGGGGGGGGGGGGGGGGGGGGGGGGGGGGGGGGGGGGGGGGGGGGGGGGGGGGGGGGGGGGGGGGGGGGGGGGGGGGGGGGGGGGGGGGGGGGGGGGGGGGGGGGGGGGGGGGGGGGGGGGGGGGGGGGGGGGGGGGGGGGGGGGGGGGGGGGGGGGGGGGGGGGGGGGGGGGGGGGGGGGGGGGGGGGGGGGGGGGGGGGGGGGGGGGGGGGGGGGGGGGGGGGGGGGGGGGGGGGGGGGGGGGGGGGGGGGGGGGGGGGGGGGGGGGGGGGGGGGGGGGGGGGGGGGGGGGGGGGGGGGGGGGGGGGGGGGGGGGGGGGGGGGGGGGGGGGGGGGGGGGGGGGGGGGGGGGGGGGGGGGGGGGGGGGGGGGGGGGGGGGGGGGGGGGGGGGGGGGGGGGGGGGGGGGGGGGGGGGGGGGGGGGGGGGGGGGGGGGGGGGGGGGGGGGGGGGGGGGGGGGGGGGGGGGGGGGGGGGGGGGGGGGGGGGGGGGGGGGGGGGGGGGGGGGGGGGGGGGGGGGGGGGGGGGGGGGGGGGGGGGGGGGGGGGGGGGGGGGGGGGGGGGGGGGGGGGGGGGGGGGGGGGGGGGGGGGGGGGGGGGGGGGGGGGGGGGGGGGGGGGGGGGGGGGGGGGGGGGGGGGGGGGGGGGGGGGGGGGGGGGGGGGGGGGGGGGGGGGGGGGGGGGGGGGGGGGGGGGGGGGGGGGGGGGGGGGGGGGGGGGGGGGGGGGGGGGGGGGGGGGGGGGGGGGGGGGGGGGGGGGGGGGGGGGGGGGGGGGGGGGGGGGGGGGGGGGGGGGGGGGGGGGGGGGGGGGGGGGGGGGGGGGGGGGGGGGGGGGGGGGGGGGGGGGGGGGGGGGGGGGGGGGGGGGGGGGGGGGGGGGGGGGGGGGGGGGGGGGGGGGGGGGGGGGGGGGGGGGGGGGGGGGGGGGGGGGGGGGGGGGGGGGGGGGGGGGGGGGGGGGGGGGGGGGGGGGGGGGGGGGGGGGGGGGGGGGGGGGGGGGGGGGGGGGGGGGGGGGGGGGGGGGGGGGGGGGGGGGGGGGGGGGGGGGGGGGGGGGGGGGGGGGGGGGGGGGGGGGGGGGGGGGGGGGGGGGGGGGGGGGGGGGGGGGGGGGGGGGGGGGGGGGGGGGGGGGGGGGGGGGGGGGGGGGGGGGGGGGGGGGGGGGGGGGGGGGGGGGGGGGGGGGGGGGGGGGGGGGGGGGGGGGGGGGGGGGGGGGGGGGGGGGGGGGGGGGGGGGGGGGGGGGGGGGGGGGGGGGGGGGGGGGGGGGGGGGGGGGGGGGGGGGGGGGGGGGGGGGGGGGGGGGGGGGGGGGGGGGGGGGGGGGGGGGGGGGGGGGGGGGGGGGGGGGGGGGGGGGGGGGGGGGGGGGGGGGGGGGGGGGGGGGGGGGGGGGGGGGGGGGGGGGGGGGGGGGGGGGGGGGGGGGGGGGGGGGGGGGGGGGGGGGGGGGGGGGGGGGGGGGGGGGGGGGGGGGGGGGGGGGGGGGGGGGGGGGGGGGGGGGGGGGGGGGGGGGGGGGGGGGGGGGGGGGGGGGGGGGGGGGGGGGGGGGGGGGGGGGGGGGGGGGGGGGGGGGGGGGGGGGGGGGGGGGGGGGGGGGGGGGGGGGGGGGGGGGGGGGGGGGGGGGGGGGGGGGGGGGGGGGGGGGGGGGGGGGGGGGGGGGGGGGGGGGGGGGGGGGGGGGGGGGGGGGGGGGGGGGGGGGGGGGGGGGGGGGGGGGGGGGGGGGGGGGGGGGGGGGGGGGGGGGGGGGGGGGGGGGGGGGGGGGGGGGGGGGGGGGGGGGGGGGGGGGGGGGGGGGGGGGGGGGGGGGGGGGGGGGGGGGGGGGGGGGGGGGGGGGGGGGGGGGGGGGGGGGGGGGGGGGGGGGGGGGGGGGGGGGGGGGGGGGGGGGGGGGGGGGGGGGGGGGGGGGGGGGGGGGGGGGGGGGGGGGGGGGGGGGGGGGGGGGGGGGGGGGGGGGGGGGGGGGGGGGGGGGGGGGGGGGGGGGGGGGGGGGGGGGGGGGGGTGGAGTAACCACACGTGGAGAGAAGTTAGGATATAGAAGCTTTACAAGAAAAGGAAACTTAACGAGAGTCTAGCGAGCCTGCACGAGGTGACCGTCCTGGTATTTACGAGAGTTAGTTAGTTCGCGTGGGAATTTTTTGCACGTGAAATCGTATCTAAGGAGGTAAAATAGTCTATTTTGGAACATGAGGGGGATTGAATGGTTTGTATTTGTATGAGTCGAGTTGGGGGCCTGTGACCGGCATTAGGAGGACGTTAGTGTGGGCTTTTGTTAGGGTGGGTGGAAGACCAGTACGTTTGACTAGTAGCCCTAAATGAAAGAGCCGGGATGGTTTGATATGTTGACAGTGGTGATGGGTGCCGATGATTAGGTGCTAAGAAATCGTGTGTTCTGAGGCGTGAGAGCGAGGACACAGTTGCTGTTAAGAGGGGGTAGGGTTTTTAGGGATCGAGGCTGAACACGAGAGTTTACTAAGTGACGTAGAACGGCTGTAGGGCGAAATGGATAGTACTTTGGGGAGGTCTGTGCGATCTCGAAATGCGCGTATCCCCTCATCATCCGGACATGAACGCCCTATTCGTCTAGCCCAATTTCTAAGCCATTTTACACCGCTCTCGACCCCTAGGTGAATACACTCACCTTATCATATATCTTTCGAATTTACAGTCGCCTTACATTTTTTTCAGATCCCGTACAGCTAAGAGACCTACAGTGTAGTAGTCAATCACTCCGATTTGCACAAGTGTCCCTGTGTTTAGTCCACGGTCGATGCCGTCCGAAGACCTTTAACTCCGCCCTATGAAGGCCCGTATCAGAACTTACCAAGGAAATCCAAGTATTTCGTGTTGAATAAGAATGGATCCAAAGAATCCGTGAGCATCGACCGACTCAAACCAGCTTACTTTGAACCTACAGTCGATCGTACTGATCCCGTTTCCTCCCCTCAGCAAACACCCGCCCCTGACTCAGTACCCCTACCAGACAACACACTAACGCCGGTACACCGAGTCCTCTGTGCCCTCCGACTACACGCAGCTCCACACACACACAAGTTCTGGTCGTGTTGTTTTCTTTCCACCTAGGCTTGCTCAGTACGCTCCGTGGGCACTTTGTCGAGCGTTTCCCTAGTGCACGCTCTAGGGGAGGAGTACTGGTAGCGATGTAAGTAATTTGTCCTTTTTCATTTTCATCGTTTACCTATTTCGCTGCAGTTTGTTGTACAGCTTTGTTTTAATTTAACTTTAGGTGTAGATTACACTTGGTGTTGAGCTCGTGCTTCCGTGGTTCTACCTTGGTTGCGTAGGTTTAGGTGTGGTAGGAGATTGTGGCGCGCTCGTCTGCCTACTCGTATTCACGTTATAACATACATTTCGGCTTACCTCGCGATATTAACGGTCGTCCGACGCTTAGGCGCAGCTCTATTCACGATCGGACTCTACGTAAACGTACACTTCGGCATACCTCGCGATTTACAGTCGTCCCACGCTTAGGCACATCAGGATATTTTATATGTGAGGTAAACCTAACTGACTGAGTATTCTCTTTTGCCGGTTCTTCCATAAGCCTTTACCTTTGTTTCTTTCCAAGTTTTCCGCAGATAGGTCCACTGGACCGGATCATTTTTCAGCGACTGAATAGTCCATGACTAGTACCTATGATAATTACCCACGCAATGGACACATCGCTTGAACAAACAGGATGTAAACCCAACACGGTCACAGGAGAACGCACCACACACTGGAGGATGGTAAGTGGATAACAGCTGACTGCGAGTAATAGTACGCGAGATTTGCTTCAGGCCATAACATTTACTTGGAACAAATTCCAGCGTGCTTAATAACATTTTTCGTTTGCATTAACAAGCAGTTTCAATTGGGAGGTCGAACAGTTATCACAACCTTATGCGACGTCTTACACTTTCTAATGTCAAGTCCAAGCTTGATCACATTTAATCGTTGCAGGTTTGATTGTACCCATTTGAGCATGCCTTGTTGGCCTGGCTCGTTCAACACCGAGAATATAAAATTTAATTACTTATTTAAACTGAAGTATCACATGAGCCAACTTCATTATGGCTCAACCACGAGTTCAGTGAAATCATCATACTTTCATCCTGATCTCTATTCGTTCACTCATCTTTGCATTCACAATGATCATGCATGACGATCTTTACAACCTCCGTAGGAGGGCCCATTTTTGGTTCTTCCACCTCATGTTAAGCATTTTACTGTCCAGCTACACAATCCAAAGTCAAAGTGTCCGGACCGCTTCACCGGCACAAGAAGCAGGACGCTCCTTAGGCGAACGCCTCTATCGTCCGTTGTACCTGACCTGACCTAACCTCCTAATTCCCCTTCTAATGTAGTTCGCTTTTCTCTTCCATGAAGTCATAGAAATATTCCGCTGAAATTGAGATCAATAATAGCAATAGATTGGCTCGGGGACTTTGGTCTGCCCACAAGTAAGCTGCTGTGTTGTGGATCCCAAGCAATAACACGCAACCGCACGGAAATAGGCTGATAACTCATGCACGAGTATCAACGGAGGGCCGGCAATGCTTCAATGTGAAAATTATCAAACTACGTAAAAGCTCTCGCATTTAGAAAAAAATAACTGCCCATAACTACATACTGGCAAGTCGACTAGACTCATATTTCAACATTTTTCCGACACGTACAAGAATATGATACCCTCTGACTACATGTACCGTTTCACAGCAAGTATAGTGCCTTGACGGCTTACACTACACACGACTGCATCCAAGGTATCGTTGTGATATTCAGCTGCCTGTGAACCTTGATCATGCCTGACTTGGTGTGTCTATAAATTTGCGAATAATATATTTATTATTCATTTATTTACTATTTGTTTTATTCAGGCAGGAGTATGGAAGGTTTATACAAAATGAACCGGTCCATTGAAGAAACAGCTGCTGGCACCTGTCTAGAAATATACCTTTTTCATGAATTTATTTATTTATTTAGAACCGTTAGCACTGTCCGCTTGAAACCTTCTTAAACCGAGTATTTTGGGTCCACAGCAATAGAGAGCACACAAGTATCCATGGACAAAAGGACACTGCCGTCTCCGACAGTAACAGCTCAAACAGATGCTTCCACCAAAGAAAACACACTTGTTACTCGATTGGAATGTCATGTGTATTGGACTGATCGATTTGTTGTCCATTGTAAACAGCCACACAACGTAAGCTTTAGTTTACCTCCCCGTGGTGTCAGCTGGGTGGTTCGGGTAAATCCCGTTCCAGCAAATGGTTCAGCGGCAGTGTTCCAAGATGTGGTGGGATCTCGCCTGTCAAGCGTTCTCCTTATAAAAACCACAGATATCCGTTTAACAACACCGTGACGTGGCGGATGTGACTCGCCACTAAATAAAGTCACTGCCTCTTCCCTTTTCCGGAGGATCATTCACACATCACGAACGTCATCCGATATGAAGCGGTCCATTGATTTCCCCCTTTGATGGCAAACCCAATGAACAAAAACACACACAGAGTCACATTTACTTAATCACACAACATGGCTACTTCCAAATACAGACACAAGCACACTTTTACATGTCAACAGACACATACATTCCTGTGCCATTTGTCAAAATATACTATTTTGTGCAATTGCCAAGCATACATTTCTGTAGTACTATGACCACGCTCTTGATGGTGTGCCTCGCAATGACGAGAATAAACTATTTGTTTATTTAAATACGTAAGCACTTGCATTGGGAGGATGTTGTTAGGTCTGTTTTACGCTCACGAAACATTGCCGTTTGGGGAAATACACCTTTCTCAGTTGCCGTGGAGTTCCCCGAGCTGGGCAACTTGAGTGCAAACCTTTCGCCATCATACGAGGTGGCATCTTCAGTGCGGGATTGAGAACAGTTTAGTAGCAGTGGTTGGTAGATAGCAAACCCTATAATGGACACTGTCAACAACCACTCCATTCCTTATATAGGCATACGGGGCTATTAATTTTGCCTCGTTCTCATTGGTGAAGCCTTGTGTTCAGCGGTTAGGCCCGAGTCAATGTCAATGGCTGCGGAAATGTTGCGACGTGGTTGGGATTACCTCACTCGGATTGGTGCAACGTGTGTGGGTGAGCCGTCTATGCTCATATTGACCATGCTGTTCATTGTCCGTTTGTTGGATTAGGTTCTTTCGGACAATGGTTGTTGATTCTCGTGAGCTCTGTCGGTCTCAGCGGTTGGTATATTGGCTCGATGTCGATATGCATGTTGATTGAGTTTGTCGTTGAGAATCAGGCTTCCAGAAACTCCATCCCTTTTTGTGTTTTTCCTTCGGTCAAGATCTCTACCTTGTTCCAGTCGAAGCAGTGTCACTCTTCATCCACCTGGGCTGAAACAAATGAGGTTGCGTAATGGTTCTTGCACGCTTCTTGGTGTGCATGTATCCTGGTGGACAGCTTCCTTCCTGTTTGTCCCACATAGTGCTTTTCACATTATGCGCAGTTTATCCTATATATTGTAGCGAGAAGGACACGGTAGGGGAGAACGCTGTTTATTGCACGCTGAGAGGTTCACACACATGTCCCACGCACACACACAAATATAGCCGCGTTTCCCACTTACGACGCACCACTTTCCGCCGAGTGAAGTGGTGTCCACTAGGCGCCATTAGGCTGATCCGACGTGGACATTGAATGTGCCGTTTTCCGCCCACATTTCTGCTCCCTTGCGTCGCAGCCTATCCAGACTGGATTCGTACCAAAGCTCTCGACTTGCTTGCTCGGGGCTGTGTTGCTCTGGTCGGGCCGATTCCTGGGGCCGTAGATAAAGGCATATCTCTTGGGAAAATCGGGCTCCCTTTCATGTCGCCTCTTGTTCTTCTCGGCGTGGCCGCGGTATCGTTTGTCGCTGACGACCCATTCCCGGCTTGCATCGTAGGCCACGAGCTGGGTTGACGATTCCCGTTCCCAGTCTCCGCGTTAGTCCCGATCTCCTGCTGCTTCCGGGGCATTTCCGTGTGAACTGAGATCCGCGCCCCTACACCCGTCCCTTCTCGA